GCTAAATCTACGCTGCAAAAAGAAAACCCAGAGGCCGATGTCGGCCACCACAAATTGATGATCCGTTATTGCCTCGCGGCCAACGAGTGCTCTTCTAGCTGGTAACGCAACGCGACCGCGGACGCTATTGAATTGCTCGTTTGCAAAGTCTGACATCGGCTAGATGCCATTTGAACGTAGGGTAGCTCCACTCAGCTCGTTGTGGTACTAAGGGGCACTACTTTGCAATAGTTTGATTGGGGGTGCTAGGTTGAGGGGGGGGGTCACGCGGCGGCGCGGCGCTCTGTTCGTCTGCTCCTCTTAGGCTTAGTCACAGGGCCGTTACTATTTGGTCGCAGCGTGGCAGTTTCGAAATACGTGACATCGCAGACTAAGCCTTAGACGGAGCTGTTCTACGATCAAAAGAAGCCCTACCTTAACTAGTCCTGTTTTTTCGCTTCTGCTTTAGCAACTAGCCCTGAGGCGCAGTTTTGAAAAGGTGGTGGACGTGTGGTTCCTTGGACAAAGGGTCTGATTTGGCTGAGGCTGTGCTACCATATGCCGTACTGTCCTTATTGAGGGGGCGACGTGGAAGCGCGATGGGAAGGCATTCATTGTTCCCGAATAAGCAAAATAATCGAATTAGCGAAAAGTCTTGTATACGTATCGACCACGAAATCTGCGCTTGCGCGAACGCGGAGGCGAAGCAGTTAAGGTGCGGATCGACGCAGTCAGCTCCTCGCTCTCAGCGTTTTGCGTCGAGGCATCGAAAGCGCGAAGCGATGGGCCACCTCCAATTCACCGATCGATAGACACACACATCTTTTTAGAAGTTGGGAGTCGACGAATCCCAACTTATAAATCGGCCCCTACCATTTTGCGGATATGATTCCTTTCGCGGATCGTAATCAATCGTAAATTCGTTCGTATCGCGCGTCTTTCGGGATTGCGCAAACAGTGAACAGTTTTAAAGGAATCTTCCACGGAAAAAGCTCCGCCCTCATTACCACAGAAAACGATACCTTAAAGGAATCTTCCACGGAAAGAGTGATCATTTTGTCTTGTGTGTAGGATTAGTATTATCGAAACTAACGCTTATGTTCCGTTCTTTTTGCTATGCTCATGAGGCTAGGGGCCTAAGGTATCGTTTTTCTGTAGGAGGCGGAGCTTTTTCCGTGGAAGATTCCTTCGAGGGTCCGTGCATAGACCCTAGGAGGGTGGAGGAACTGGAGGAAAATGAAAATGAAAATGTTTACGCCTATTGGAGCCTCTCCCACTCATGAGGCTTTATTGTAAATCTGAACGCTAGTGAGAAGATTCCTTATCTTTTGGCTTACAGTCTTTTCGCACCATCTTTCTGCTACAGGCTAAACCTTGATTTTTTGAATTAGGAAACGGTTTCCATTGAAAAGTTGGGGGATACTCTTCTTAAACGTTTATGCAAAAAAATGAAACCGCGGTATCAAGTGCGTTGCCGCGATGGTTCCTTTTTTTGCGATGGCTCCCATGAGCGTACAAAAAACATGATACTAACCTAGTTCCTTTTTTTGCAAAATTAAGTAGTTCACCCATCCCTGTAAAAATTGGGATTGCTAAAGTCGGCTCGAACTAATGTGCCGAATTACCTTCGTACTTCATGAGCACTGATTAGTGTGATGGCGCTATGTTGGAAGTCGAGCATTTCCTCTTAGCAGCATTTAACTAAACCTTAATCGAAGATCTCATCTCATTTTGGGCTCTGACGAACGTAGCGGATGCAACAACATTGCTGACATGAAGGAGCTCGATGCCCTGCCGCGAAGTGGAGACCCTAAGGCTGGTGTCAGACTCCGCGATCCGTCGCAGGTTTCGCTGATTTTCGCGATTTGCGATTTGCGCGAAACCTGCGACGGATCGCAAAAATTGCAAGTGCCCCATTTGAACATTTGAAACAAACAAGTGGAATCATGAGCAGTCGTCATTCAGCCATCACTATCAAGCAGAAGTGGCGGCAGGATTGGAGAACACCTTGCAGTATTGATCGGGCACTTGTGATTTCCGTGACCCGTCGCGTGAATCGCGCAAATCGCGAAAATCAGCGAAACCTGCGACGGATCGCGGACTCTGACACCAGCCTAAGGAAACCATTGTGATTTGTTCGGTACGGGCGTGAGGATAGCGAAAATTATATTGCTGTTGAATGAACGTATTTTGTTTGGCGCAGCGATACGCAACTTCAAAGTGAACATTTTCAAGAACAGGGAGTGGTTTGCAGGGTCCTGCCAGCTGAATGGCATTTCATACTTTCCAAGTTTTTTTTTGGTGATTGGTTCTCGTTGAGGATGGGAGAATATAAATTGTATTTCAAAATGACTGCGTAAAATGCAACTTTTCACAATGTTTATTTTACTATACTTACGTGAATCTCGGGGAGATGTTGGGCCAAGGATCGAAACCCACATTCATGATCACAGTATCAGTCGGCAGAAGATCGTCGGTCATGCTTTCTCTGTTTTATAGAATCAAAAAATCAGTAACAGGTGGCAGCTCGACTGGAAATTCGGCAATTGTATTGAAGGAAATAGGTGCACATTGACAATTTTCTTTGTTTTGCGGGCGTTTTTGGTAGAACCTTTCTAATTCAAACGTACTTACTCCTGTCAGCAAGTCGGCGAATTGCCAGGCTCTCGAATGTTCCATAACATGAACTTTGAGTGCAGGCTAGATGTTTTGAAGCAGAAAAAGGCATGTGTACAGATGTAATCATGTTGTGTTTGTGAATAGGTCACTGTTTTACAGGTTATTGTTCGCTTCTTGACCGTAATGATGAGACACGGATACATTGGAGAGTTCGAGATTGTTGATGATCATCGAGCAGGCAAGATTGTTGTCAACCTCAATGGCCGTCTCAATAAGTGCTCGGTTATTTCCCCACGTTTTGATATCAAGCTCAAGGTTTGTTCTCTTTCGTATATTTTCTTTTTTCTTTCCGCGCGTACTCTTTTAGGCTGACGTCATACTTTACGATTCGATTAGCGATTCGCAAAGTATGACGTCGGCCTTAGACGCTTTGAAAATGATTGTGTCGTTCAGGATATCGAGCAATACACAACTAACTTGCTCCCATCCCG